TGAGGAATTGAACCCAGGGCCTCATGCATGCAAGGCAAGTGCTCTACCACTGAGCCACCTTCCCAGCCCTGATTTCAAGTTTTCTAAACTGTCAAAAAAAAAAAAAAAAAGTCTGTAGGCTGAGATCTAAGGATTGAAGTTTGAAGCCAGTCCAAGCAGAAAAAAAAAATCCCTGAAACTCTATTTCTAATACAGCAGCAAAATGCTGGAAGTAGAGATGTGGTTCAAGTGGCAGAGCACTAGCTTTACACTAACAAACTAAGAGAGAGTGCGTCCCTAAATTCAAGCCCTAGTACCAGCACTCCCCAAAAAATTAAAGGGGCAGAAACATGAACCCCCCCAAACAATGTGTACCGATTAAATGGAAAATTCCATATAAAAGGCCAAGAATATGAAATACATTAATGAAAACACTAAGAATGGGGACTTACTTGTATTCTCTACACTTTATTGTTACCCACCTCACAGAATTGTTACTGGGATCAGATGTGAGAGGACTCGATCACGCACACACACACAAAAAGCAGGATCCACTGAGCCAGAAACACGAATACCCACAACTCCGACAGTCCTCACACACACACCCACAACACCGACAGTCCTCACACACTCACAACACCAACAGTCCTCACACACACACACCGACAGTCCTCACACACTCACACCGACAGTCCTCACACACACAACCCCGACAGTCCTCACACACTCAACACCGACAGTCCTCACACACAACACCAACAGTCCTCACACACACACTCACAACACCGACAGTCCTCACACACACACAACACCGACAGTCCTCACACAACACCGACAGTCCACACACAACACCGACTCCTCACACACACACCGACAGTCCACACACACACACAACACCGACTCCTCACACACACACACAACACCGACAGTCCACACACACACACAGACAGTCCTCACACTCACACACAACACTGACAGTCCTCACACTCACACCGACAGTCCTCACACTCACACACCAACAGACCTCACACACACTGACAGTCCACACACACACTGACAGTCCTCACACTCACAACACCGACAATCCTCACACTCACACCGACAGTCCTCACACACACAACACCGACAGTCCTCACACACTCATACACACACCGACAGTGCTCACACACTCACAACACACCGACAGTCCTCACACACTCACACACACCGACAATCCACACACACACCGACAGTGCTCACACACTCACACACACACCGACAGTCCTCACACACACACACTGACAGTCCACACACACCGACAGTCCTCACACGTACACACACTCACACACTGACAGTCCTCACACACACACACCGACAGTCCACACACACTCACACAACACCGACAGTCCTCACACTCACACATAACACCGACAGTCCTCACACACACCGACAGTCCACACACACACACCGACAGTCCTCACACTCACACACCGACAGTCCTCACACTCACACACACAACACCGACAGTCCTCACACTCACACACCGACAGTCCTCACACACACACACCGACGTCCACACACTCACACCGACAATCCTCACACACACACACACCGACAGTCCTCACACACACACCGACAGTCCTCACACACTCACACAACACCGACAGTCCTCACACACTCACGCTCACACACCGACAGTCCTCACACACACACATAACACCAACAGTCCTCACAACACCGACAGTCCTCACACACTCACACCGAGTCCTCACATACACACCGACAGTCCACACACTCACACTCACACACCAACAGTCCACACACACACACCGACAGTCCTCACACACTCACACTCACACACCAACAGTCCACACACACACACCGACAGTCCTCACACACTCACACTCACACACCGACAGTCTCACACACACAGACAGTCCTCACACACTCACACCGACAGTCCTCACACTCACACATAACACCGACAGTCCTCACACTCACACATAACACCGACAGTCCTCACACACAACACCGACAGTCCTCACACACTCACACCGAGTCCTCACATACACACTCACACACACTCACACACCGACAGTCCACACACTCACACTCACACACCGACAGTGCTCACACACGCACAGACAGTGCTCACACACACACACACCCCGACAGTGCTCATCCCTGTGCCTTCCGAGACTACCTCTGCAAAAACCTTTGACCTTGAGGCTTCGCCCCCTGCGCCCCCCCCGTCTGAGGGGAAGGAAATGGGGGCGGGGGGCGTCTGGCGACAGAAGTCCCCGCTGCCGGGCAGCCCGCCGCACACTCAGCTCCGGGCTGGGCGCCTGCGGTCGTGGCTTCGCGGTTCCAATCCCAGATCTACCTTAAAGCCCGCGGGGACGAGGCCGGCCGG